TTACTGATTGTAACTAATATATAGGAATATTTAAATATTATTAAAAATATATTTAAATCTGCTGATAAGTCATTGGTTGACACACTAATAAAAGAACTGACTACGACTCAGTATGATGACACTCGAGGAATTCAGGATCACTTCTTTAATATGGCTAATAAAGCTGTAACACTTAAAGCATTAGGTATGAATGTTGACGAGTCTTTCCTTATACAGTTTATTTTCAATTCTCTTCCTTCTCAGTTTGGCTCATTCGAGATTCACTATAATACAAATAAGGATAAGTGAGACTTGAATGAGGTAACTAGTATGTATTGAGGAAGAATTGAAATTAACATACGAAAGCTCATGTAATCTCATGACTACTACTTAAAGAGTTGGTAATAAGAAAATAAAATTGAAGCATTATCCATTAAAGAAATTTGCTGGGTCTTGAAATGTTAAACAAACTAATGAAAAGAAAACTTTTATAGTAAGTACTTCTTTTGTGGCAAGAAAGGATATGTGAAGAAGGATTACATTAAATACAAGACTTGATTCGAAAAGAAATGTACAAACTTGATCTTTGTATGTTTCAAATCAAACATTATAGAAGTTCCTTCTAATACTTGGTGGATTTATTCTTGTGCTTCAACTCATGTTACCAATAATATTTAAGGATTTCTTTCAATCCGGAAACTAAAAGAATATAAAAGATTCATCATTATGGGAAATCATCTCAAAGCAAAAGTGATAAGTGAGGACTTATCGTCTACACCTAGAGGTGGGTTATATGATTGATCTTGTTGACACATGTTATATTCCTACTATTTCTAGAAATTTAATTTTTCTATCTAAAATTTATGAGTTAGGATATTGTCTTTCTTTTAGTAATGGTAAACTCAATATATTTTATGATTTAATAAAAGTTAGTTTTGTAATTGTATGTGATGGTTAATACATAATTAATTTGAATCTTGAGTTTGCAATGACATTATTGACCTTGCAATCAAGTATTGGATTGGAACATAGTTTCAATAATGAAAGATCTTCTATACTGTGATATAGACGATTGGGCCACAATTGAAAGATTAGTTAGGGATAACATTTTGAAATATTTAGACTTCATTGATTTTGATATTTGTATAGATTACATTAAGGGAAAATAAACTAAACATACAAAGAAAAATGCTACAATAAGTAAAGAACTCATTGAGATTATTCATACTGATATTTGCGGACCACTCAATATTCCTTGTTTTAGTGGAGAAATATATTTTATCACATTTATAGATGACTTGTCCAGATATGGTTATATTTATCTAATACATAAAAAGTTTCAGACCGTTAACACTCTTGAAGTGTACATAAATGAGGTCGAGAGACAATTAGATATAAAAGTTTAAATTGTAATATCTGACAAGGGTGGTGAATTTTATGGTAGATATGATGAATCCGATCAAAATCTTGGTTCTTTTGCTAGATTCTTAGAATAACAGAGTATTTGTGTTCAATATACATTACCAAGTGTGCCACAGCATAATGGTGTTGTTGAAAGATGAAATAGTACTCTTATGGATATGGTTAGGAGCATGATGAGTTATTCCCCTATACTTTAGTCAACGTGGGGTAAAGCTCTTAGGACAACTATGTACATCTTGAATATGGTTCCTAGTAATTCGGTTCCATCAACTCTATTTGAGTTATGGATTGGTAGGAAGCCCATTCTAAGACGTTTACATATTTGAGGGTGTCATGATATTCAATCCACATGAAAAGAAATTAGATCCAAGAAGTATTTTTGAATATTTTATTGATTATCCAAAAAAAATCCAAGGGATATAGATTTTATTGCCCTAATCATAATATGAGGATAATAAAATCTAATAATGCAAGATTATTAGAAAATGACGAAATCAGTGGAAGTGAAAAATCTCGAAGGATTAATTTTTATATTGAGGAGATTTAGATTAATTCTCTCATATCATATCCTATTTGAGAAATTATTGTTCCTCAAATCAATAAGAGAATTGACGAGAGTGAACAATAAAATAACATCAATAAACTCTCACATAATATTGATGTCGTCATTAATAATCTTGAAGAACTATCACATAATATTGATGTCGTCATTAATAAAATAACATCGATAAAATCTCGAAGTGTTGTCACAATTGACAGCTTTGAGAAGATCTTAAAGGAAAAGAAAACATGTTATTTCTGATGATTATATGATATATATATATATAAGAATCATATTATAATATAGGAATAAAAAGAGATCCCTTATCGTTTTCACAAGCCATAGAAAGTAACGATTCTAAAAATTGGTATAATATAATGAAAGAAGAGTTAAAATCAATGGACTAGAATGGTGTCGGGGAACAAGTTGAATTGTCCAATAATTATAAAAGAGTTGGTTGTAAATGAGTTTTTAAGACAAAACGTAACTTAGCGAGCAATATCGAATGATATAAAGTCAGAGTTATGGCCAAAAGTTTTTCTTAGAAAGAATGCATCAACTACAACGAGACTTTTTCTCTAGTTTCTATAAATGATTCGTTGAGAATCGTCATGACATTAGTAGCTCATTATGATCTTAAGTTTCACCAGATGGATGTGAAAACAATATTTCTGAATAGGGATCTGGGCGAGGAAATCTATATGGAACAAGTCGAAGGATTTATAAAAAAGGGAAAAGAAAGTTGGGCTTATAAATTTAAGAAATCCATTTATGACCTTAAACAAGATTACAGATAATGGTATCTAAAGTTTCATGATGCTATTAGTTTCTTCGGATTTAAGGAAAATACTATTGATCATTGTATATATTTGAAGGTAAGTGGGAACAAGTTTATTATATTGAAAGCAGAGATATGTATTAAGAACTAGTAAGAAACTAACTGGACTCTGGATTAAAACCTTGGAAAGACTTCTCAAAGTAGAACTTCAGATTTTTTTCTGTGTGTTCTGCAATGAGAGATGCAGTTGTTTATATAGAGAACTGAAGGTAGATCTTATATGTGGATGGTATTTTACTTACCAGTAGTGATCTTGGTTTATTGCACGAAATCAAGATATTTCTCAATAAGAACTTTAAGATGATTGATATAAATGAGACAGTCTATGTTATTGGCATTGAGATATTAATGGATAAATCCTAAGGATTATTAGGATTGTCTCAAAAAGAATATATTAATCGTATCTCAAAGAGATTTAATATGTAGCTTTGCTCAGCCAATGATACACCTATTATTAGAGGTGAAAAATTCAGCCAAAACCTGTACCTGAAAAATGACTTAGAAAAGAATCAAATGAAGAATATTTTTTATGGGTGCGTAGTTGGAAGTCTATTATATGCTTAAATATGTATAATCTCATATATAAATTTTGTAATTGCAATATTGGGAAGATATCAAAGCAACCTAGGAATGAAATATTAGAAAGTTGCAAATAAAGTAATAAGATATCTACAGGGGACAAAATATTATATGCTCAAACATAGAAGACCATATCAGCTTGAAGTGATAGGATATTCAGATGTTAATTTTGTAAATTGTCTCGAAGTCTACTTCAGTATTTGTATTCATGTTAGCTGGTAGGGTAATTTCTTAGAAAAGCGTAAAGCAATCACTTATTGCATCATCAACAATGAAAGCTGAATTTGTGGTATACTTTGAGGCCACAAATCAAGTTTTATAGCTGTGAAATTTCATCTCAAGACTTAGTGTGCTCGACTCAATTGTCAGGTCACTGAAGATTTTTTATGATAATATTGCAACAAATTTCTTCTCTAAGAATGATAAATACTCTAATGGTTCAAAGCACATCAAGATAAAATACTTGAGAAAGAGTCCAGAAACAACAAATGTCAATTCAGAACTTGAGCACTACTATGATGATTGGCGATCTATTTACTAAAGCTTTACAGTGTAAAATATTTAAAGGACATGTTCTTAAAATGAGGCTTGTGAGCAAGTCATAAAAGATATGGTGATGCATATTTAAGTGGATGCTATTATTGATATTTTTCTTAATTAAAATTATTTATTTCTGCTATCCTGTTTATATTTATGTATATTATAGTTAAATATAATAACGAGATTATCTTAACAAGATAAATTACAAGGATCATTATGGACTATATTAGGAAAGACTAATAATATTATGGTAATAGAAGGGAGTATAACATTGATGATATACAATCACTATGACTCGTATTTATAATTGGACTTAATATACTATTATTATGTTTATTAGATTTTTTTAGCTTATTTTTAAAAATTGATAGTCATATATAAAATGTTTTTTCAAATTTTTTTAGAATCCAATTAGATAAAATTGTTTTTAAATAAATTTTATTTTGTTTAATTTGATTTTGAATATATTTTATATTTTATCAATTATTGAGTCAAATGGGAGAATGTTAGATTATGTAACCCTTTATAATTGGATAAGATATGTAATAGAACTAATTGGATTATGATGACAGGTATTTGTCAATAGAAAAGAATTCTATATTATAGTAGGATTCCTTAAGGGATGTCCTTGATGGAAGGAATTCTCCTAATAATTTATTCCAGATCCTCTGCTTTCGCCTATAAATAGACAGGATTTCTAAGGACTAAATAACATATCTCACAAAGGATAGAAAGATTTCAATTTGTCTCTCAACTTCTCTTAATCATAAATCTAAATGATCTGATATAAAGAGAGGAGAATGAGAGTCTAACTCTTCTTGCATATTGACAACGGTTTTGGATCTAAAGACGATACCTTTGCAGATCACATAGAGATCATGGTATCAAAATGTTAGCATCGTAAAATCGATCTAATGTTTTTTGATTTCAATGTTAACATAAATTTTTTTTTGTATTATATATAGTATATAGTAATTTTTATGCTTACACCAAAATCAAGCAATTGGAAACAACTTGCAGTACGCAAACGACAAGGATCTGAGCTTATGAATGTTGATCTACTTGAAAAGCAATCGATGAATGTGTCTGCTGCTGCTGTGTTTATGATATAAGAGCATTGCTAGTCGAATTGACAAAAGAGCTGCTGGGTCTGCAAGAAAAATGTCCACTGCTAGAAGAACCATTTGACAAAACAACTTGCGAATGACTGTTCCATTCCTGAATTCTTTTTGGTTGAAGTTGCTCAAGCTCTGATGATGTAGGAATCCCCTGCAACGAGCTCCCATGTCGAGTGTCAGGAAGGTTTCCCTGTTGGGGTCTAATAAGGATCATTGGTAAGGCTATGTTGACCTACCAAGCACTTCACTTGGCTGGAGTGATGTAATGGCAGGTCGCTGAATGCATAGAAGCTCCCAAATCCATCCAATGAACCCATATGCAGATGGGAAGGCTCCCTACCTCCAAAAGCAGCAACCGTGGTAGCCTGTTGGCTTGCCACAGCACTGAAGTCTTTTCATGTAAAGCCGATACTTCTGCAAACACAACATGAGGTACTTCGTAGCAAGCAACTAAACACATTATGACTGTAAATAATTTAACAGCATGCCTGTAAATGACTCGCAACATTTTCTCTTGTAAGCTTCTCGACATTGATGAGCTCTAGTATCCTCTTGAGGGACAGCCTCTGCACCAGAAAATGTATGTATGCATCAGAAAAACACACAAGGATCCTTAAAAAGCGGAATATTTTCTGTTAAAATCTCTTACTGTCAATCCCTAATTGATTATCAGCAGCTACAAACTTCTGGTGTCGGTCGATAGACCAAACAGCCCTCGAGTGGTTGGATCTTCATCCTGATGCATGTTCTCCTCAGAATCATTATCTTCTTCCTCTTTTTGATCCTTCCTCTTCCTACCGAACAGTTCATTCTGATGCCTATGAGATTCCTCCCAATTATCAAACTTGCTATAATCCCTGTGATGGAGCTTCTTTCTCCTAAAAACATGCTGCCATATATTCCTGAGCTCCTCGATCCGAACAGGCTTTAGCAGGTAGTCACATGCGCCATGGGTTATGCCTTTCATCACAGTTTTGATCTCACTGTTCACTGACAACACTGCATTGAAAAATATCATTCTTTAATCATTTAGCAAAAAAACTGACAAATTAGATGCTAAAACAATCAGCTGGTATTGGCCAATAACTTTTACTTTTCACCTTGATTCATTGTGAGTTTTGAAACTACAATGTGGGTGCTTGCTCACAGATGTTATGAAAATTGATGAATAATAATACTTCAATGATTAAAAATGTTTTACTCTAATCAGATTGAGAGAACCGACACTGCACAATCAAATATACAGGTCAAATGTTCCCTAATCATGAAAACAATGCTATCATGGACATAATGTCAGTATCAAAGACAACAAATGAGGTGCCAAATTAAGATAGCATCCAAAACTTACTCGGAAGGTCTTGTAAACATAAAAACGGTTATACGCTATATCTAATGCGAAAAAAAATTTTATGTTAGGATTGAAATCAAATAACATCAGATTGGTTTTACGATATGTATCTTTTGATGTCATTTGAAAAATGATCTCGGTGTGATTTGTAAAGGCACCGTCTTTAGATCCAAAACCGCTGTTAATTCGTAATGAAAACTAGACTCTCATTCTCTCTTCCTATCCTTTCACAGGACAACTTAGATTGATAGTTCAAGGAGGTTGAGAGATAAACTATAATATCTTAATTGCATTCTCTATGAGATGCATAACATACCTCATTCAGTCCATAAAGTTCATGTCTATTTATAGGCAAGAGCAGAAGGTCTAAGATAAGTTATTAGGAGAGTTTCTCCCATCAAGGGCATTCCCTAAGGAATCCTACTATAATATGGACTTCTTTTCTATTGGTCAATATCTGTTATCAGAATCCAATTAGTTCTATTATATATCTTATCAAATTATAAAGAGCCACGTAATCTAACATTCTCCCGGTTAGCCCAAGATATAAAAGATATTCAAAATCAAAATAAATAAAATAAAGTTTGTTTGAAAACAATTTTACCTAATTGGATTCCAAAAGAATTTTGAAAAATGTTTTATACATGATCATGAATTTTAAAAATAAGCCAATAAGTTCAATAAACATAATAATACTATATTAAGTCAAACTATCAATGCGAGTCATAGTGGTTGTATATCATCAATGTCATACTCCTTTCTACGTACCACAATATTATTAATCTTTCTTAATATAGTCCATAATGACTATTGTAATTTGTTATTACATTCAACTATAATATGCATAATCATAAATATAAACAAGATAACATAAATAAATAACTTTAATTATGTAAAAGAAATGTCAATAATAGTATCCATCTAAATATGCATTACCATATCTTTTATGGCTTACTCATAAGCCTCATTCTAATAACATGTTCTTTAAATATTTTACACTGTAAAGCTTTAGTAAATGGATCAATGATCATCGTAGTGGTGCTCAGGTTCTTAATTCATACTTATTGTTTCTGGACTCTTTCTCTAACCATCAAGTATTTTATCTCGATGTGTTTGGAACCACCATAGTACTTGTCATTCTTAGAGAAGAAAACTACTGTGGTATTGTCACAAAATATCTTCAACGGCTTGACAATTGAGTCGACCACACCAAGTCCTAAGATAAAATTTCATAACCGTAAAGCTTGATTTGTTGCCTCAAAGTATTTTACAAATTCAGCTTTCATTGTTGTTGATGTAATAAGCAATTGCTTTGTACTTTTCTAAGAAATTACCCACCAACTAACATGAATATAGACCCTGAAGTAGACTTCCTACTATCGAGGCAATTTACAAAATTAGCATACGAATATCCCGTCACTTCAAGCTGATTTGATCTCTTGTATGTGAGCATATAATCTTTCGTCCCTTACATATATCTCGTTACTTTCTTTGCAGCTTTCCAATGTTCCATTCTTAGGTTGTTTTGGTAGCTACCCAACATTATAACTGTAAAACTGATATATGGTCTTGTATACGTTTAAGCATATAATAGACTTCCAACTACGCACCTATAAGGAATATTCTTCATTTGATTCTTTTCTAAGTCAGTTTTTGGGCACTAATTTTGGTTGAATTTTTCACCTCTAGTAATAGATGTATCATTGGTTAAGCAAAGCTGCATATTAAATCTCTCCAAGATACGATTAATATATCCTTTCTAAGACAGTCCTAATAATCCTTGAGATCTGTCCCTGAATATCTCAGTGCTAATAATATAGACTGTCTCATTCATATCAACCATCTTAAAGTTATTGCTGAGAAATATCTTGGTTTTGTGTAACAAACCAAGAACACTACTGGCAAGTAAAAATCATCCACATATAAGACCAATACAATAAACTTGCTTCCACTTACATTCAAATATATGCACTTATCAATAGTATTTTCCTTAAATCCGAAGGAAGTAATAGTATCATGAAACTTTATATATCATTGTATGGAAGCTTGTTTAAGGTCATAAATGAATATATTAAGTTTATAAGCCCAACTTTCCTTTTCCTTTTCTATGAATCATTTGGGTTGTTCCATATAGTCCTCATCCAAATCTCCGTTTAGAAATATTATTTTTACATCCATATGATGTAACTCAAGATCATAATGAGCTACTAATGTCATAACAATTCTCAACGAGTCCTTTCTAGAAACTGGAAAAAAAAGTCTCATTATAGTTGATGCATTCTTTCTGAGAAAAATCTTTGACCATAAGTCTGACTTTATATCATTCGATATTGCACGCTGAGTCATGTTTTATCTTAAATACCTATTTACAACCGACTCTTTTATAATTGTTGAGCAATTCAACGAGTTCCTAGACACCATTCTAGTCCATTGATTTTAACTCTTCTTTCATTGTATCATACTATTTTTCAGAATCGTTATTTTCTATGGTTTATGAAAATAATAATGGGTCTCTTTTTATTTCTATATTATAATATGATTCATGTAGATATACCACAAATCATCAGAAATGACATATTTTCTTTTCCTTTGAGATCTTCTCAAAGCTATCAATCATGATATTTCTATAAGATCATCAGCGACGACATCAACATCATGAAAGTTTATCGATGTTATTTTGTTATTCATCCTCGTCAATTCTCTCATTGATTTGAGGAATAATAATTTCTCGAATAGGAGATGATATGAAAGAATTAACCTGAATCTCCTCAATATCAAAATTAATCCTTCAATAATTTTCACTCATACTAATTTTATCATTTTCTAGAAATCTTACATTACCATATTTTATTATCCTCGGATTAGGGCAACAAAATCTATATCCCTTTGATTTTTCTGGATAACTACTAGAATATCCAAAAATAGTTTTTGGATCTAATTTCTTTTCATATGGATTAAATACTCTTATCACTGCAAGACACTTCCAAATATATAAATGTGTTAGACTAGGCTTCCTACCGGTCCATAACTTATATAGAGTTGATGAAACCGACTTACTAGGAACCATATTCAAGACGTCCATAGCTGTCCTAAGAGCTTCACCCCATATTGACTCATAGAGGAATAACTCATAATGCTCCTAATTATATCCATAAGAGTACGATTTTACCTTTCAGCAATACCATTCTGCAGTAGTATACCTAGTAATGCATATTGAGCATAAATACCCCGTTGTTCTAGGAATCTAGCAAAAGGATCAATATTCTGACCAGATTCATCATATTTGTCATAAAATTTACCACTCCTATCAGATTTGACAATTTTAACTTTTCTATCTAATTGTCTCTCAACCTCATTTATCTACACTTCAAGAGTGTTAACAGCCTAAGACTTTTCATGTATTAGATAAACATAACCATATATAGACAGGTCATCTATAAATATGATGAAATACCTTTCTCCACTAAACTAAGGAATATAGAGTGGTTCGTAGATATCAATATAAATAATCTTAAGGAGTTCTTCGCTTCTTATGATATTTTTCTTTGTATATTTAGTTTGATTTCCCTTAATGCAATCTATACAAACATCAGAATCAATGAAATCTAAATGTTTCAAAACATTATCCTAATATTTCAATTCTTTCCTTGGAGATATGCCTCGATCATCTATGCCACAATATACAAGATCTTTCATTATTGAAACTACGTTTCAATTAAACACTTGATTACAGGGTCAATAATATCTTTGCAAACTTAAGATTCAAATTAATTCTATACAAACCATCATATAAAATTTTAGAACTAATTTTTATTAAATTATAAAATATACTAAGTTTACCACTATCAAAAGAAAGATAATATCCTAACTCATCAATTCTAGATAGAGAAACTAAATTTCTAGAAATAGTAAAAACATAACATGTGTTAACAAGATCCATCAAATGACCCATCTTTAGAAGTATACGATAAGTCTCCACCTTTCGCTTTGATACGATTTTCCATAATGATGAATCTTTCATATTCTTTTGACTTTCGGATTGAAAAAAATCCTTGTATATTATTGGTAATATGAGTTGAAGCACCAGAACCAATCCACCAAATATTAGAAGGAACTTCTGTAATATTTGATTCGAAACATATATCTTTTTTTTCGAACCAAGTCTCGTGTTTAATGCAGTTTTTATTCATATGTCCTTTCTTGCCATAAAAGAGGTATTTTACTGTAGAAGCTTTCTTTTCATTAGTCTATTTAACATTTTGAGACCTAACAAATTTCTTTGATGAATGATACTTTAATTTTGTTTTCTTGTTACCAACTCTTCTTGAACACTCATACTAGTTATGATATTACCAACTTTTCTTGTTACCAGTCATGATATTATATGAGCTTTCCTATTTTAATCTCAATTCTTCTTGAACATACATACTAGTTAACTTATTCTGGTCCCACTTATCCTTATTCGTATTATATTGGATTTTGAATGGGCCAAACTAAGAAGGAAAAAAATTAAGAATGAACTGCACGAGGAAAAAACTCATCAACATTCATACATAATGCTTTAAGTTTTGTAGCTTTATCAACCATATTGAGGATGTGATCCTGAATTCCTTGAGTGTCATCATATTGAGCCGTAATTAGTTCTTTTATTAGTGTGCTAGCCAATGACTTATCAACAAATTTAAATCTGTCTTCAATAACCTTTAAATATTCTCGTGCACTAGTTACAATCGGTAATGAAGTCTTTATGTTATTTACAATTGTCAGTCTTATGAACATTAAACTAAGCCTATCAGATATTTCTCAAGCCTTTATCTCATTAATTTGTTCCACAGTACTTTCATCAGTCAAGTCTACGAGCTTTTCAATAGGTAATGCTAAGTCAAGATTTAATACATCTAGTGTAAATTACACATGCTTTAACCATTCTGAATAATTTGATCCAGAGAGTACAATGACACTAGAAGCATAAGAATGTATGGACGGAAGTACCATTGCAAAATATAAAATAACATTAACATTAATGCTTTGAGTTTCTTAAAATATGATGAACTATTGATATCATCCAGATTTTACTTTTGGGTGAAATATTAACATATCTAGTATTCACTTAAGATCATCTATAGAGGACTGATATCATTCTTGTGGAATAGTATTATTACATTTGGATATACAACCCTAAACTATAAGAATATCCAAAACAGTATATCCTACCCCATCATATAATTATTTGAAATAGATTTTCTTTTGGGATTATCTAAATCTCCTAACTATGTGTGCCATTGTGAATATTATTTCCTTAATGTCATTTAGGACTAATTCCTTAATATAATTTTATAAATTATTGGTCTAGGTCAATTTGGTAGCTTCAAGACTAATATAACAATACAAAATATAATTTAAAATATTTTATAAATAATAAAATTTTATTATAATTTACATTCCAAAAGCTTATCATCCCAAGCCACTTTGCTAGCTACAAGTCAGATAAAACTTAAGGAGATGAGTTACAAATAATATTCATCAAATTTTTTTAATTTAATTTATGCTAAATAGTTTAATAATAGAATAATAATCATAATAATTATTGAACATTAATCAGTAAAAAAAACTCATATGATAATCATAATAACATATAAATCATGTCTTCATGTAAAAGATAAATATTATTTTATAATTTTAAATATATACATGTGAATAACTAAATAAATATCTAAAAATAATAATTAGATTTTATTTATCATATATAAAAATATAATCAATAAGTCATATGAGAAAACTATAAAAGTAAACCGTAATTTATATTTTTTAATCAAAATTAAATCTAATCAAATAATCAAAATATAATCATGATCAAATTCAATCACAATTATAATAAATCATATTTATCAATTTTATAATTAAGGTCAAAAATTAAAAATTCTTAATTTTTTAAGGGCAAAACTGTAAATATGTTAATAGGACATAAATTGGAATTACGAGATTTGTAAAGGGTAGAGTTGTAATTTGATAAAATCTAGTCTCGAGGGCAAAACTATAATTTTGTCTAAAAACCCCTTGAGTCACCGTCGCTTGTGCGGTTGTTGTCGGTGTGGCTTGCACATCGGCGCGATTGTTGCCCTCGCACGGCCGCCGCCTGGATGCAGGTTCTGCCCTTGCGCGACCGTTGCGTGTGCGCGTTGCCGCCCATGTGGCTGCTTGCATTATCAGCCCAGCGATCAATCTGTGCTCGTGGGTGGTTGCCGCGTAGGCACGGCTTGTGCCCACGAGTGGTTGTTGCCTATGCGGTTGTTGTCGCCTACGCATGGCTGGCCGTGACTTGCTATGTGTGTGTGGCTGTCGACTATGTGCATGGCTGTTGTGACACACACATTGCCTTGCGCAGCTACTGTCGCCAGCAGATCTGTTGGCCGTAACAGCAAGGTCGGTAGCCTATACAACGACAATTACTGCTTCGCGATTATTGAAGATCACCTTACAAGGAATCTAACATCGCCCGCATGTCGGCGATAAAATATAATATATAGGAATATAGATCGACAAAATATGGATCATTCAAACATCGTAAATAAGAAAACAATAGATCTAAAGTATTTGATTTCAAGAACCTAGGCTTCGTTACAAATTATAAAAACTATTATATGCTATATGTAATGTGGAACTTTTATGCCATAATTGAAATCAAATAACATTAGATCGATTTTATGATGCACACATTTTGATATCATCTGAAAAAGGATCTCTTTGTGATCTACAAAGACACCGCCTTTAGATCTAAAACCGCTATCAATCTACATAGAGAACTAGATTGTCTTTCTCTCTTCCTATCCTTTCACAAGACCACTTAGATTGATGTTTCAAGAGATTAAGAAAGAAACTATAATCTCTCAATTACATCCTCTCTGAGATGTATAACATACCTCATCTAGTCCTTAGAGATCCTATCTATTTATAGGCGAGAGCAGATGATATAGGATAAGTTGAGAGTTCATCCAATCAACGACATCCCCAATAAATTCTACTATAATATAATTTTTTTTTTATTGTCCAATATCTGTTATGAGAATCCAATTAATTCTATTATATATCTTACCTAAAAAAAATCACATAATCTAACAGGTCCAACTCCGGGCTCACAATTTCCAGAATCTTGAAACCATCGATGTCTAGCATATGCACATCACTGATAACCAATCAAATTTGTCGCTGCTCTCCCTCGGCAACTTGATAGTCATAGTAGCATGATTCGTCGTAGCCACCGGCACAATTCACAACTTCATTCGCATTACTACCACATCCATAGAACTCTCTCTCACTGGGAAGAAAAATCAGCACTTTACCGTAAAGAAAGAATAAACGTCAAGGAAAGTTGACAGAAATCCAAACCATGGTATCGGCACCGAAGCAGCAGAGCCTCCAACACCTTCAGGCAAGTCAGATCATCGTCGACGGCGAGAACACGCATGCCAACAGGGAACTCATCGGTCTGCCCACCCTCCCTTCCCATCAAGCCCTCCTTCCCAGCTTCTACTGCCACACTCCAAGAGTTCATCGACCGAGTAAACAAGACAAGAAAATAAGGAAAGATCACCAACCTGATTCAGCTTTCAAAAGCAGCAACCTTTGCACTGCCTCCTTTCAGAGAGATGGGGAGGAGAGCGAAGGGCGTGGCTTGGGGAGGAACCAAAGGAAAGATAGGTTGGCAAAGAAACAGAGATTAGAAAAAGGTTGATGGAAAGGAATGTTTTGTGACGATTGGGAGGGAGCCAAGTGGGGAAAGCAAACAAGTGAAAGCTGAGGGTGGATGGTGGCACTCCATCCCCATTTGTATCCTTCGGATGAATGCAAAGGCAATTTCATGACATGTTTGATTCATCAATTATTACGATACCTAAACATTATATATGAAAAAACATTTTTTTTTTTTGTAGAAGATGGGCAAGATTTTCTTTAGGTGCCATTTACAAGGTTTCTTGAGAACAATATAGCTTCCATTTTCTTTAGGCGACAATGAAAAATATACTATAGTGGATTTGGTAAGGGCTTATACTCTCCTTTGAAATTTTATGAGGATAGATTTGTGAAGCACACAAATATGAGGAAATGATTCTTAAAACAGCAAGATACTTGTAGCCTAAAATGCCAGTGGGCCAGAAGAAGCTAATGTGCCTAATAATGTGGGGTTTTCCTTGTGAGCATGCAATGAGTAGTAAGCCTTTGGGACAAATTGCTCAATTTGTATGCTAACAATGAGAAATAAAGATTATTAACAAGTGGGAGCCAAACTTCATTTACAATCAAATTGTCAGATTTAAGCAGAATCAAGATGGTGATAAGAACCCCAGTAGCAAGGATGTATAGATATTGATATGTTTTGATATGAAAGAGGAAGATGCTTGATTGATAATGTGATCATTTTACTTAGGGCAAAAAATATAAATACCCTGTATCTCATTTTAATCAAATCTTATTCTAATCTATTCTTGTAAAAATATGTGTAGGCGGTATAAATTAATTTTGATTTATTGATTATAGGTGAAAATTTTTCACAAAATGAAGACTATAAACTATTTTTTAATACCATGTTGGTCTTATAATAAACAAAAATTTCAAACATTGGTTTATCCAACAAATATTGATTAAACTTGATATGTAATCTTCCAATTAGATAAAAATAACGACGATGTAAGATTATCATATAATGCACCAATTGATAAAGAGGAGGAGAAAAGAAAAATATAAGAGAAAGAGGAGGAGAAGAATACTAAGACGGAGGAGGAGGAGAACTGTGTTAGAGGTTTAGAAAATTTGATCCGAATAGGACCAATTAATCTATTAACCACATCATTAGATAGAATGAATAGGGGTCTAACAGTTCATTCCTAAAAAAATATTATGAGTGTTATTAGGTAAAAAGTGATTACTAGTGATTTTTTAAAATAAATTATTCTAGTTTAATTTAGGAATCGAATACACCAATTTTTCTGTCATCCAAAAGAGAGATGAGTACAAGGAAAAACAATTAATAACATTCTAAGGACAATAATGATGATCCAATGATGAGCCCCGGCAATACTAATGGAGATAGAGAAGGAAAGGACAAACTAAGGTAAAAATAGCAGGGGCAAATATGAAACATCACTTTATGTTTCAGGCCAAAAAAAGTATAAAAGAAAGGATTTAATGAGATGGTCGCTGTTATGGAAGTCGTTTGAAGGGCCCGCGAAGCGGCGTCCTTCAACAAGAAGCCCCAACTGGCGGCCGTCCTCGTACGTCGGGCGCATCGACGCAGGCCGACCGCACGCATGCCAACCCGATCAACTCAAGCGACAGCTGCGTCCCGACACGAGTCCCGGGCAGCACCCGATCGTTCCACGTGTCCCGACGGACGGACGCGACCCGGTCTTCCTAATCCGTTGTGAACGAAGAAAGCAACGACTTGGGTCGACCATGCTCTTCGTTCCCTTCCCCCCCCCCCCCCCCCCAACCTCTCTCTCTCTCACTGCTACTATTTCTCCCCCCCCCCCGCGTCGCTCCGCGCCCTCTGAGCTCCCCCTCCGCCTCTCGTTCTCCCCCAGCGAAAGGTGACTCTCTCTTTCTCCTATGTTCTGATCGAAAGAGGTATAGTGAATCGATCTCTTTGTCGATAACGACCCCCCTCGCCTTTGATCTTGGATGGGTTTCTGCAGGCGGGCGGTCGCTCGGCAGGTGGAGCTCCGGCCATAGGTACCTTCAAATCCTAGGGATTCAATATTCCTAGGATCCACTACTGCCCTCCGATCGGCTCATATAGATGAGGCACTGAATAGGAGTGCCCGTTGGGGAGAGAGGATCGCGGAAATGGCGGGCGGGGAGAAGGCGCCTACCTCGGGAATGCCGGCGGTGGCGGGGCCGGCTTCGGGGCCGCAGGGGCTGTCGCGGCGGCCTTCGATGAGGAGCTCCGTGATGGCGACCTTCTCGATGGAGGTATTCGACAACGAGGTGGTGCCGTCGTCGCTCGCCAGCATCGCGCCCGTCCTCCGCGTGGCCTCCGAGATCGAGGCCGAGCGCCCCCGCGTGGCTTACCTCTGTACGTTCTTCCTCTCTCGCCATTCCATCCCCATCTCTCGATCGAACCGCCACGGGAGAAGAAACCACAGGGAGGGAAATAAAGACCGTCGACGGCTCTTCTCTAATGCTTATTTATGGAAGGAATCTGATATTTTTGACGCTGCTTGTGTTTGGGTTTGTGGTGTCCTGCAGGTCGCTTCTATGCGTTCGAGAAGGCCCACAGAGTCGATCCCAGCTCCAGCGGACGTGGCGTTCGCCAATTCAAGACAGCCCTCCTCCAGCGCCTCGAGCGGGTAAGATCACCGCTCCCTTCTGCCCTAAGATTCGTAATAAGTAACCGTACGAATCTCAAGCATCGGTGTTCGTGAATCTTAAAGTGATTACTGCTGAAAACTCCTTCCCTAGTTTGATTTCAATTTGGTCCGATCAAAGTTGTGTCGTCTCCGTTCCCAATGTTTGGGAGACTGGCGTTTCCGGATGAACGATCTTGTTTCTTGCTGTTGATTTCTAGTTTCTTTCCCCAGATGTGAATGCTTTTCTAACGAGTTTTCGATGTCGTCGGTGATCCCGTCTGCCCTAAGGTAATGAATAATTGTGCGAATCTAAAGCATTGGTGTCGGTGAACCTTAAAGCAACAGCTCCTGCTTGCGCAACTGATTTCTGCTGAAAACTCCCTCCCTAATTTGATTTCAATTTAGTCCGATTAAAGTTGTGTCGTTCCCATCCCAATGATTGGGAGACTGGCGTTTCTTGCTGTTGATTTCTTGTTTCTTAACCCAAATGTGAAGGCTTTTGCAGCGAGTTTTCAATGTCGCCGGTGATCCACGCTTTTTGCTTGCGTTCTCGTTGTCAAAGCTCGCAGTTCGGAACTACTAATGGGAACCCGGATACGTTTTTTTGGATTCAAACCTGGGAAATTAAGTGCCTTTTGCTCAATATTCATCCCTTATCCGACCATCTATGCGAATCTGAAGATTGCAATCCTGGTATTAAGATTGGATTATGGGGTGTCTCACACTGAACTCTGTTTGCCAAGTTTTGCATACAATACATTGTCTCTTGGGTAATCTCGTCCTGAGAGCATGTTCTGAATGATGCATTTTTTCTCGATGATTCTTCTGTTTCCGATGACATATGTGCATCATTGGCTGTCGTGATGTTTTCTGAGAGCATAATCTGAGTTCAAAATTACAGGACAATACACCGAGTCTTGCTAAAAGGGTGAAGAAGAGTGATGCCCGAGAAATCGAGAGTTTCTATCAGCAGTACTACGAGAACTACGTCCGTGCTCTGGACCAGGGCGAGCAAGCAGATAGGTAATCGTGGCTTGAGTCCCCCACTATCTGTTCCTGATGCTCGTGACGTCCTCGGATCTTTATATGTAGATTTGTGTTCCTCCTGTTGACAGAGCTCAACTTGGGAAAGCTTATCAAACCGCCGGTGTCCTTTTTGAAGTCCTCTGTGCTGTTAACAAGACTGAAAAAGTCGAAGAAGTTGCTCCAGAGGTTCGTTTCGTCGAGATAATTGTTTTGATTGTTTTATTCCTGTGCTAGTTGAACTGTTCTTCCATCCGCCTCCTTGGTGCTTTTTGAACAGATTATCGCTGCTGCCAAAGATGTCCAAGAAAAGACGGAAATTTATGTCCCGTACAACATCCTTCCCTTGGATGCTGCTGGTGCTTCGCAGTGCATCATGCAGCTTGAAGAGGTATATGGGACTGCAAGGACTTTGCCTCTTGCAACTGTCTCTATCAGTCGTAACCTTCTTAGCTGGGAGCAGTGTCAGCAGCAAAGGGATATTTTGATGTGCAAGCTTAAAAGAATCAGTAATTTTAACATATCATCTACTTTTGACAGATTAAAGCGGCTGTGACAGCCTTGAGGAACACACGAAGTTTGAACTGGCCTTCTTCTTTTGATCAGCAAAGACAGAAAACAGGAGACTTGGATCTACTTGACTGGTTACGAGTCATGTTTGGGTTTCAGGTAAACATCCACAACATAAGCAACTATATATTGCCTTTTGTCCTTGACAAAACTTGGTGCCATTTACCACTGCTAATGCTTCTTCATCTCCAGAGAGACAATGTAAGGAATCAAAGAGAACATTTGATCTTGCTCCTTGCCAATGTTCACATAAGGCTATCACCCAAGCCTGAACCTCTTAACAAGGCATGTACACATTGCTTCCTTCTAAATTACAGTACATGAGCTAAATGAACTCATTTTTACAAGTTGTGAGAGGTATATGGCGCTTGGAAAAGGTGGAAGAACTGCCTGGTTTATCAATGAATTTTGAATGTGAAATATGTTGAGTTAGATACCAAAAGTTTTGATATATTGTTGGTTTTATTTGCTCTTTTAAATAGCATTTGGAATCATAAATTGCACCATCCACCTTATTGAACCCGTAAGAGTCTCATTTGCTTTCCATATCATGGTTTTCCTTTACTTTCTTCTATATTGCAGTTGTAGAGTCCAACATACCTTACAACATTAGGATACTTTTTCAAAGAGCAATATGCATTTATCTTTTTTTCCATACAAAATTCTTTCTGGCTGGATTAGGAGAAAGTGAAGGAGAGGAGGATAAGGAGGGTTGTTGGTAGCTGTCAACAACTATCCAGATTATAAAAATAAAAAAAAAATGAACTAGATTGGATGATATTGTATAGTCCAGTTCCGGTTCCTGGTTGGACCAGTAAATACCAAATGG